TTTCATTTACAGCTGGGACCGTTGCTGTGTTGCCACCTCTCCATTCCCAGTGGGAACAAGGGGATACTTCTCTGTTCCCAGTGGGGACAACAGGACACTTCTGTCCCCAGTGGGAACAAGGGCATACTTCTCTGTCTCCAGTGGGAACAAAGGGACACTTATCTGTCCCCCAGTGAGAGCTGGCAAACAGCTCCTTTCAGAACATGGGGAAGCCTTTCTAGCAAGAAAAGGTTACAGAATTTGGTGCAAATGACTGCAGGCTTCTGCCAACACAAATTGTTCCAATCCAACTCATACCAATAAAGCAGGCTATACTGTCAGTCAAACTTCAAGGTCACTTCTCAAAAGAAAAAAAAAAAATAGACAAGAAAAAAGAAAATAAAAGACCCTTTCAGAAGTTACTTTTATGAAAGTACGATTAAAATAATACATTTATAGTTAAGCTCTGCAATAAAATAAGTTTATTCCAACATTACAAAATGCATTTCTACAAAACGTTCTAGGCAATCTTACTTATAAAGTGTTGTCTAGCTACATAGCTCTAAATGGATCTCTCTTAATAAAGCAGCCTTTCCTGTGAAGCCCATTCTTTACTCCATTAAGGGGAGTATTTTAAATGAATTATTCCTTTAGATTTATTAATCTATTCCTTTGGAATTCCTTTAAATATTCCATTATAAGTGAGTAGTTTTCTAAAGAGAAGGGGCTAAAAAGTGGTACATACAACCTCCATTGGCTAAACATTCATGTGTCATTTCACAAAGACCTACACATGGAATCCATTGCCTAAACATTCATGTGTCGTTTCACAAAGTCCTACATATGGAAAGTTCCTACTTATTATATATTCTCAGAGCGATCACTTCTGGCTGCTGGTAATTGCCAACATGTTCCGTTTGCTTAGCAACAGTTTTACAGCAGATGAACCATTTGCGCTATTATAAATGTAAGATACTTGCAGATTCTCTATGTGTTTATGATGTTTCTACTGATTTTCTCTGAATGTGTGAGACACCTTAGTGGAACTCTCTGAACAGATTTGACTAGATTGTCCCTTAGTGCACCGCAGTGAAGGTACACTTAAAACACTGAACTTACCTCTGTGGAATCGTTTTTCTTTGTTACACAAAAATGAAAACATTCTCAGCATCCCTAGAGACTTACTTCAGTGACAATTATCCCTCTCCTAAGAGCACTACAGAAAATGACTTCTGCAGAAGCTTTCCTAGTACCAGCCACTATCTTCTATAAACTCTTGACTTAAAGGAAAAGTCAGAGAAGTGCAGCTCTAACTTCAGATCCAGTTCTGTATGCAGCAAGGCAAGTAGCAGTCACAGCTGTTATCTGTTTAATAGCAGTTTACTCAGTAGGAACTGGCTTGACAAACAAAAGTTAGGGTTACTGATGCAAGCAGTGTGTCCACTAGAGGCAAGGTGATAAAAAATTCTGATGCTGTGAATGGTTATGAGCTACTACAAGCAACACATGTGGCAACTGGATTTAGTGCAGCTGTCCTTGTTCTCTGTTCTTGTGTAATCTGTGATAAAAGCTCTGCTAACCAAGTTTACTAAGGTGCAACATCCCAGAACTCCACGTATTTCTTCTCCATGTATTTGTTTCTCTGGGCAACCTGTGCCAGGGCACCACCACCCTCACAGGGAAGAACTTTTGCCTAAGAGCTCATCTCAATCTCCCTTCTGTGAGGTTAAAGCCACACCCCTTGTCCTGTCCCAGTGGACCCTTGTCTAAAGCCGCTGTCCAGCTTCCTTGTAGCCCCTTTAGGCACTGGAAGCTGCTCTAAGGTCTCCTGGAGCCTTCCCTTCCCCAGGCTGAACAAGCCCAGCTCTCTCAGCCTGTCTTCGAGCACAGCAGAGCTGCTGAAGCCGTTGCAGCATCTCCATGGCCTCCTCTGGACTCGCTCCAACAGCTCCACATCCCTCTTGCGTTGGGGGCCACATAACCTGCAAAATTTGTTTCAGACAATTTTAAAAGTTGAAGGATTTCTCCACACACAGCTTCACACTATAACCACCACACATGGGGGAGAGAGATCAGCATGGACACAGATGCCCTGACCTTCAGGTTGCTTTTCTCCTTGCACAGGCACTAGCGTGGCTCAGCATGGATCCCTGGTCCAGTTCCGAGCTTGGGGTCAGCTAGGTCTCTTCCCAGTGCCTCTGCTCATGTTTCCCTTCACAAACTGCCTCCATTCTATTGCCAGCCAAGATGTCTTGGTTTTCCTTTTCCTCTTTAACGAGCTGCAAGGGAAACAACTCGTGGTGAAGAAAGCTATGTCACCAGAGTGCTCCAGAGGTGTCTCCCAACTCAGGCAGAGCCTCCATACGATGAGGCACATGCAACTGTCACACTGGCATTTTCTGGCTCCTGATGACCTAACTTTGCCACAGAAACCTTCCTGTGAATAAATACAAACCAAAAATGTCTGATGTGACAAAATTAGCATTGAAAAGACTGTTCTAAAAGAAAGTCAGCAGAGCAACATTTGGTATACACTGCACTCTGATGTAGTGTTCTTACTTGTTTAGAGGTTCTCAATTCTCTCAAAGTTGCATGGGATTAATTAAGGAAGTGATAGACTAGTTGGCACAATTAAACTGTTGTTGCTGTAAGATCCCAGAGTCTCCAGTGGATTTCAGTGCAGTGCTTTATGACATTCCCTTAGCTGCCATCTTTTTACTACTACCAGACGTCACTGCCCTCGATAGCAGAGGCAACAGAGAAGCATTTGTCCCAGGTACTCCAGACCAGTCCCCAACCCACCTTTGCAAGTATGGAAATGAGGCACACGTTCACAGCACAGCTTTTAAATGCACAATGACTGCTAAACCTTGACACTGTCCCACCTCAGGCAAAATTTAAATGAGCTGCCAAATTACTCTCTTCCTGACAAAGAATAAAAAGTCAAAAATTGGGAACTCTATCCCATGACACACCAAGCAAACTATCAAAAAGCACTAGGATGGGTGTGAGCCCCACAAAACAGTTGAACACATGTCGATGCTGGGACCAAGCAGACAGTGCTAAAATCAGAGATTAGATCTTACCACACTGGGGATTTCAATCTATCACAAACAGTTTTTCTTCATATTCACTAACCAACAGAAATTGCAGTTAAGCCAGTACATAAAACAGCAAGAAGCTCACCAGTCAGCAGCACAAGTATGGGTTTGGAATGGAAAAATATCTTCCAAACAAACGCAGGGGAAAAGCAAAGCCAAACATTAAAACAATATCACTAAACACTATAATGATTGTTTTTTTTCTGTGCTACTCCTAGTCTGAGCGACTTACGGGATGTCTCCAGTTCACTGGCCTGTGCTCATGAAGCTTTGCACTGTTGCTATCTAGCCCATAAAGCGCTGCCACATCCGCAAGTATAAAGCAAGGCTTCTAAAGCACCCCCTCTGCAGTCCTGCATCTAGCCCTGGGACAACAACACAAGAGGGACATGGAGCTGTTGGAGCGAGTCCAAAGGAGGCCACAGAGATGCTGCGAGGGCTGAAGCAGCTCTGATCTGGAGACAGACTGAGAGAGCTGGGCTGGTTCAACCTGGAGAAGAGAAGGTTCCTTAAGACCTTAGAGCAGCTTCCAGTGCCTAAAGGGGGCACAAGAAAGCTGGAGAGGGGCTTTGGACAAGGGCCTGTAGGGACAGGACAATGGGGAATGGCTTTAACCTGACAGAAGGGAGACTGAGATGAGCTCTTAGGTAGAAGTTCTTCTCTGTGAGGGTGATGAGGCCCTGGCACAGAGAAGCTGTGGCTACCCCATCCCTGGCAGTGTTCAAGGCCAGGTTGAACAGGGTTTGGAGCAACCTGGTCTAGTGGAAGGTGTCCCTGCCTGTGGCAGGGAGCTGGAACTGGATGAGCTTTAAGGTCCTTTCCAACCCAAGCCATTCTGTGATTCTATACTTCCACAGAACCATTGCTAGTCATTTTGAATTGCTGCAACTTTCTGTATGATTGGTATTGATGGCTTAATAGAGAGCTACACAGTATTTCACAGACAAGAACGGCACAATACCCACTCACAAATAACAGGAAAAATCTATTAACTTTGATGACCTCAACTTTTGTCTTCAATAATTTCCAAGTGTCAACTGTCTGTGCAGGGCAAGCCTGTTCATAACCCCAGGATTATCGACAGTTAAAAGCAGCTGTTTTTCTGACAATAAACATAGGACTGACAAAGATTTAAAGGTATGCTGTTCTTTTTTTTATGTAGGAGAGAAATTTTAAAAATAAGAAACTACAACCAATATACAGAAAATCTAGAAGAGCAACCCATAACAATTGTTCTGGAAGACATCTGGTAAACCAGAAACACATCCAGTCTCAACTACTTTAAAAGTTCATTCCTTGTGATGCTTTTCTTCTAACTCAATACAGCAGAAAGTGCACCTACTCATCATAAACAGTTGTCATTGTCTCCATAGCTATCAAATCTGTTGGCTGACATCTCAAGTCAATTTGATGCAGTTTATCATCATGTCTAGTTGGGGGGTTGGAACTACATGATCTTAAGGTCCTTTCCAACCCCAACTATTCTATGATTCTATATTGCCTGTGCTTTGCTATCACACAAGCATAATACAGAGTTAAAAAACTGCATCTTTGAAGACGTAAATGCTTGCTCATTTAATGTTGCCGTTCATCTAGAACAGTGGAAGTACAAGCCTGTAAGTGAAAAAAATATTTCCCTGTAGGATTTTACGTTAGTCCAGTTCAGATAAAACTACAAAAAGCACCTACTTTCAAGTAGCAAAAGAACATTTTATTAAAATGGAAGCTTGTCAAACCTTATGTATCAAAACTAAGTCCACAGCTAATGCTAACACAATCAACTTCAAAAGGTTCTTATGATACAATTTAGAAATCTTATACAAAGCTATTTTACAAATGACTACTCAAACATTCTGAAATGCGGCATTTGTTTACTTGTTCTAAAATGATGTATCAATTATGATACAAAGTACTGAACTATCAATGTGTATAACCTGTATTTATTTGGTCCTGTGAGGAAAGTAACTTTCTGCATCACTCCAGCTACAGAAATGAATGGAAGTAGAAAACATTGTAATGGAAGCTGCCAATGATTCCTCCCTTATGTGCTGAGTTCACTTCTTTTCTTCTAATGCTATATATCTCCAGTCATAATAGCAATGAACTCCTCTTGATTGACTGTAGAAAAGGAGAAAATCTGTTAGACAAACTGCAAATATCCACAAACCATAAAATAATGCATTTTTGTATTACGCATTTTGCTTAAAACATTTCCCAATCAGTATTAATTGTGCCTGATCCATTACTAGTTAGAGTTAACAAGTCTGTTTTTTTTTGTTTCTAGAACCACACTGTTTTTTAGCATGTGAAAGTCAGAATGCAAGCTTAAAAACTTAAGCCAGAATCTATCTCACATCTAACAAGCTATTACTCATAATTAGGAAAGTAAAAATATTAGAAAAGTAAAACAAGATAGAAAGAAAACCAAAACACTCAAAAAAGTACGTCATAAGATGGCTTTCCAAAAACATAATACTTTAATGCTATAACTTTTTAGGTAGTATAAAAATTTATCTACCATTAACGTTTTATTTAATAAGTGCCTCTCAAGCAACAACACTGAAGCTCCAGTTATGATCAAATTCAGTTTTATTCTTGAAATCATGATTCATTTATGTCCAAATCACCCACCCAAACCATGAAATTCTGTCTTAAACCTGTAACACTTGCCAAATACAAAATGATTTTTAAGATAATTTACTGATGATTCCATAAATTTGATAGAATTAAATGGACTTTTGAAAAGCTTTTCCTCATGTGAACTTGCTTCATTCTTCAGTTATAATTAACAGAAATTTCACACAAACATAGTTGAAGAAATTAAGTCATAATAATAAATTAATTAGCAGTCATTAATTATTTTGCTGCACTTATACCTAAGCTATTGACCTTGCTCATATGTAAAACAGAGCCACCTTAAAAGAGTTAACCAATGAACATGGTCAGTCTGTAACTAATTACTGTAGTGAGAATGACTAAAGTCAGCAGTATGGAAAAGATCAGACATGCACGAAGAATTTTCCCTGACAATTACGTGTCCCAGCCAACGTGCCCAAACTATTCCTAAACAAAACACTAGTAAGAGCTACATCTACAGCTAGAAGAAAATCAAACAAATACAACTATGTTAAAGAATAAATAAAAAATAAACCTAAATCTGCCCTGTTACAACATATGTAAAAAAATATCAAATGAGTAGATTTAGTCTAGGTGAGGCCTCTATGCCGTGAAATGTAAGTCCATCATGTAGCTACATCACGTTCTACTACACATAAGCATAATGTTGACTGCATGACTTTGAAATGCATTTCCACAGTTTTATCACAATAACAGCACAATAACAGCACAAACATCCTCCCCAAAATATTCTCTGGTTTAAAACATCACTGTTAAAAAATGCCACAAAGTGGAAATACAGCATTATAATGAAAGCAAATTTTATAACATTCAAACCAACTGCAAAGAAAAGTGTAGTTACAAATTCCAGTAACCCAGTAAATCCTGCTCAGCCTTAGGATCTGTTCACAAGTTAGGCACAATAAAATAAAAAGCAACCACCATCTTTCCTGATTTCCCTGAACTCCATGACATAAATGATCACAACAGAACAAACTAGTATCACAGATAATATAAAGAAGATGTTGACCTAGGCTCTGGGGGGTTAAAACAGCATATTATTCCAGTGAAGGGTTTTGTTGTTCGTTTTTTTTTTCCTAATTCTGTGCCAAAATCTGAGACCTAAAACTGGACGCTATTTCCTCAGATGCATCCACACAAGACAATAAAAGCTGCATGAACTGACAGCATGGAGTTTCTAAAAATACTCATACTACAAAACAGAAGTCATTCCTAAAACCAGAAATACAAAAATAAGACTACTTACATTTTTAAGGCAGACAGAAATACGTAAAAAATACTTATTTCTGTAGAAATTTACCTAGAGTGTACCAGTACAGTTCAGAGGTTTTGCTGAAAACCCAAGGGTTCAACTAGCCTGGGTATCACACAACAGACCTGATTTTACTATGAGTAAATCAAATCTAAGGAGGGTGCTAAACCAAAAGTGGTATTATTCCTGTATTTGAAGACAATGCTACCAACTAACAGTTTCAGGGGTTTGGTTTTGTTTTTTTTTTCTGTTTTTTGGGGTTGTTTTGTTTTGTTTTGGGGGGGGAGGGGTAGGAAAACAAGGAGAGCTAGATGACAGCAAGATTTTGTTACATGGCCCAGATGTTTGAAGCTAAATGGAGCAGCGATTCACAGGATTGTTCAATTTTTTAGAACGAATCTTAAAAAGCTAGAAACAGCATCAGTTTCCTTTAAAGTACAGAAAACACACAGAATCTTAAGGATAAACAGCACCATATACAAACATTATGCTGTCAATCTTCCACATTCGATCTCATGCTTGATTGCCCTAACAAAGAGAAGGAATGGATGAATGAGTAAGAGGAGACTGAGCCACCCACTCGTAGCTGATCAACCCGATTTCAAAAATGTAGCACTGATGCAAAATAATTATGATTCGGTAAACTTCCTGAAAAGAGCTAATGGTCTACATTCAATTGGTAGTGACCAAATAGCCACGACAAAATAAACCCCCTTGATCCATGATTCTGACATCTCAGATGGCAGATTATTTCTACTCTCTCACCTCACAACTACACTTTAAAATACAGGAAAGCCAGCAATACAACTCTTCCTTTCAAAAGCACAACAAGGTCAAAATTAAAGTACTTACCTAGACCAGCAATCTATCTAATGGATTGAGAAAACAGACATCACTCCTTGCCTGCTACAGGAAAGTAAGTAAACAGCATCCTATTGTCTACCAGAATTCACAGCTGCAATCCTGCGTGTCACTGCACTCAGGTCCCTAAAAAAACGATTTCCAGCTTTCACTACACTGACCTGCTTCAATTATCCTATAGGAAACACCAAAAAAAAACCCTCAAATCTGTTTTCTCAAAGGCAGCTCCAAGAAAATCTGATCAAGCAGCGAGACAGTTCAGGGATCTAACCAGCAAGAAAAATAACACTTAAAAACGTGAATGAATAGTTATCTCCTGGCTTAGCTTCCTTAAGATATCTCACCTGTGGGATCAGATCCTGCCAGTATGAGAAATGGGTGGGAAAACACAGCTGGGAGTGTGGAGGAACACTGCAATTATGCAGTATGGATTTATTAAGGAACCATGGCCTCAGACCACAGACCGATACCAGAAAACAACAGCTCCATAAGGAAAGAAATCACACACTTGACCTCAGCACTTACTTTAGAAAAAACAGTGTCAACTTTAACACATCTCTGGCAGTTGAATCACTGGCCTTTCACTACCTTTGTCTCCAAAAGGTTTGCAATACCACACCACTGACCTCTTGAAAGAAAAGGGGTCATTTCAGCACTTAAGCAATTGTATTCACAAGTATGGAATAACATCTACAGCAAACAGTTTAGAAGGAACGAGTGTCTGTCACAAGGCTGAGAACACAATTTTTTTTCCACTAGAAGGGAAGGTAGAGCCCAACAGATGCAGCAGCTCACAGGCAGAAAAACTATTGTAACTGGTAAAGTTTATGAAATGCTTGTGAAAGCTCAGACATGAGTCACCATCCTGAAAGAAAAACTTGGAAGTAAGATTTGATGACTGTCAGAAGTGCAGTGTTCAGGTACATGGTCTCAAATAAGTAGTCCTTGAAACTCTGACATAAACATAAGGGTGCTTTCAGTGTAATGAAAACAACCTATGTTTTAGTGTTCATGAAAATTTAACAAGCATAAACTGGATTTGTTAACTCATTCTTTATCTAGTTAACAGATCCCTTCCAACTCTGTACGGACCTAGTCAGCTGCCAGACCCATTTTTCATGCTATGCTCTTCAGCACTTTGAGGTTCAGAACTACGATGAAGACCCATCCCAGCTGATCCTGCATAGACAGGTACATCCACCACAACTTATTAGCTCAATACCTCATATCTGACTAACATGCTGAAATCACCACAGTGGCACATCACCTGAGAAATACTGACTAGGTATTCAAAAGGGTTTTTTTAACACTTTAGTCCTTTCACTGATTTATAAGGAAATTAAAATGTGATGTAGGTCCACTGAACCTCCCATGTACTGGTTCAGCTACTTTCAAGTACATTGTCACCAATTTTTTAATAATTGGCTGAATAAGAGTTACTGACGAGTCAACTTTAGACTCAAATATGTGTTTCCAGGACTAGTAGCTGCCAAACTTAGAAATTTCCATTATTTGTAAGGTAAATTAAGTTTGAGCTGAAAGTTATTTAGAAGAAAATCTAAAAGGACATGACCATGTTTAAAAAGTGCAGAAAATTAAGAGCAGACTATTTGGGTTTTTGTTTGCCAACACATACTTTCTCCGTCTCCATCCTTATCAAATTCTTCAATCATAGCCCGTAGTTCTTCATCAGACATGTTTTCACCCAGTTCTCTAGCAACTCGACGCAGGTTTCTCAGACTTATTTTACCAGAGTCATCATCATCAAACAATCTGAATGCCTTGAGAATTTCTTCTTGTGGATCTCTGTCCAATATCCAGTCTGTCACTGTAAGAAGGATACTTAGGTTAGACTAAAATACTCTAAAGGATAAACTCAGAATGACCTTAACAGACTAAAGCAATATGATGAACATATTCTTCTGATTTCACCCTTTCTTTCAGCTTTACATATTTCAATTCAATACGCGTTTTGCTGATACTTGATCTCTCTTTCTCATCTCTCTTTTCCCCAGCTCTCAAAAGAGCTTCTCTTTGGACATACCTGTTTGCAGTGGAAATCTACAAGGCAACATAGGCACAGCCATGCTTTCAACACACTTTTCCATAGGAATTAGAAGTATAAACATGCCTCCTCTGTTCTAAACTTACCTTTTCGAAAAAAAGACCATCACCTTTGACAGATAAAAACATGCAATTACTTTTTTATTTCATGTTTTGATCAGGATAGGCTTTTGACCTGGAGAGAACACTGAAACACTAAGAAAGGAAAACCATTCACATAGAACGCCTCTTTTAAATACAAATCCAAATTAACAAAAAACACCCCCAAAATCAAAACCCCTAAGCCCAGGGGTTATGAAAAGGGGACTGTCATGAATTACAAGATATTAATTTTTAAAGGATTAATTGGTCTTTATTTTTCCTTTTATCACAACCACTTGTCAGTTTCTGTAACAGAAAAGACAAACTTGCCACATCAAATATTTTCCTAGTGATTATTTCAGATGACTCAACTGTAATAAATTTTCACGTTTTACGTTAGTCTTGTATTACAGAGCTTACTATTTCTGACTTTCATCAAGGCATTAAAAACACATCAACCGTGTCTGGAAGGGGTTGGAGAACCACTTAGCATCTGCTACTGTTTGCAGATGAACACCTGCTCTGGCGTGGCAAACTTGACAGGAAAGAATTTGATCCAAGCTCACACAAGCTCACTACACCAATGAAGTTTGTATGTCTACATAAATCCCTCAGATTTATACTAAATTTGAGTATTTTCATTTAAAACAACTACACTGCATGACAGTATTATGACATTGGAAAAATTCTACCTTTTGTGTGCAAAAAGGCAACTGTAGTGTTAGCTGAAGAACAATAAAATGCTGTGTCTCTAAATACTACAGGTAACATAATCAATATAAAACCAGACAAAATGTAATTACAACTTTATACATTTCAGATGGGTTATTCCTACATTTAAAGGCATGAAGAACATTAGATTGTGAAAAAATGACAGCTCAAAAATTGCTTAGCTCTATTCAGCAGCTTTTCACAATTAAAGCTTCTATAACCTATATTATCTAACTCTCCAACCTTTTTGCTACAAGTGGTATCATGTTTAATTCTGTGTCAAGGTCATATTGCATCACAGCAAATCCAATCCAAGTTTTGGGACAGGTTTGACCACCTTCCCAGTATATATTGTGCTTCCTATAAGAATTTTCCTAGCTTCTCAGAGCAAGTATTGACTGCCCATAGTGAAGCAAGGGACAATGAACAATGAACAGGAAACAATGAACAACGACATGACTGAACATCAGGAATTAAAAAGTAATTACACAGTAACTACAGTATATTCAATCCTATAATATTATAGCATAATGATGTAATTATAATTTAATTACTATTAATATGCTTTTTTTATTTGTTTACCTGTTGTTTTGTTTTAATTAAATCAGGATTGGTCACGTGTATTTCCCCAACGGCTTTATTTTTGGGTCTTTTCTGACATACAACTTGCTCTAGCCTTGGGCACAACTACAAAAATATTACCTGCCGTTAACAGCACATTTTGTCTAACCCTAACCTGTGAGGTCATTAAAATTTGCCACATTTCAACCAGTAACTGTTTTGCCACTTTAAAAAGATTGTTACTCATCAGCAGGATCAAATACATATGCACTACACCGAGGGTATTTTTTAAGAAGATTTACAGGAATCTAATACCTTGAACACATAGACTGGAAGAATAAAACTGAGACATAAAGCCATACACTGAGTAATCCCACATGGCTTTTTTTTTTCCTCTGGTAAACAAATTGTATAAGTTCAACTTTCTTTGAAGATTTATCTTTAAAAATCCTGCAATCACTACATACTCAAAGTATGTCAAACTGTGCAATATGCAATCTTCAGATGAAAAGAGCAGACTAATGAAATTCCACTGATTTTATCAACAGTTGAAAATCCTTGAAGTACAATATTTAATATCTGCTTCAACTTCTCATATCTTTGATATGTGTTAAGTCTGTACTCAGTTTGCAGTTTGTCTGTGTTTTCGTGGAGGAAGTATGCCTCCTTCCCACAAAATACTATGTCAAACATTTTTTCCACAGCAGGAAGGAGAATCTTACAACATCCATAAGCAACACAAGAATTATGTACATTTTCAGTTAGTATTTATTCCTTTGTGCAAGTTTGAACAAGTTTAGGACTCTCTATACTTATTTCCTTTTATACATTCATCTCTACAGATCAAACTGAGTATTCAGAATACAAAGATTTGTTTTCCTCCAGTACTGACTTTTATTAAGAAAAATATGAAATCTCCCACTTCTATTTCTTAATAGTACTAGATAACTAAAAGAGTACACAAAGTACTGCTTCAAAACTGCAGCCATTTCTATAGACTAAATTTCTCTAAAGATACACAATCAAACACATACCAACTTCATTAAAATCTTCAAAAGTGATCTTGCCCGTCGCTTCTCGATCATAATCTTTAAGTATTTTCAGGACATCAGCTTTTTTCACATCAAAACCCAAGGCTCTCATTGCCACCTTTTGGAATAAAATGGAAGTGCCACCATAGATGAAGATTAAAATACAGATTTAACAGATTTCTTTTTATTTTCAGTAGTTACCCTCTTGCCGAAAAAAGAGGATGTATATCAGAGGTTTAGCAACAATAGCAAATAAAATTAATTAAAAAAAAAAAAAGAAAAGCTTTGCATTTAAAAACCACCTAAAACTGCGAGTAGCAAATGACACATGAAGTTACAGTGAAAAAAAATAGTCTTTGCATTTTCAGGGATTTTATAGACTCAACTCCATGGTTCTCAGGACAAATAGATCTATTTTCCTCACTTCTAAAACATTTCAAGTACTGACACTTTTTAAAGATAAAATTGAAAAACATTCTGCAAATTATTCTTACTCAGTATTCAAATTAAGTGCATACAGATTCACACAATAGTTTGGGTTGGAAAGGACCTTAAGATCATCTAATTCCAACCCCCTGCCATGGGCAGGTATACACGTTTATGGGTTTACAATTTACTTTACTGCTTTTCCAGTGAACAACATAAAACCAACCACCTTTTTTTTTTTTTTTTTAAACTTTTTCCATTGACTAAGAGTACACCTTTAGTTTCCCATTTCAACTGAGATGGCAAATTCTCAGCACACACTACAATGACTTCCGCTAAACCAACAAACATACTAAACCAGAAGTGGGAAACCACCAATTTTGTAGAGGAGATAATTTTTTTTTTCATTTCTGTTCCTCTGTAGTATTACCTTCAGGGCCACAAAATTTATTTCGACAGCTAAGAAAACAGCTTCGCAAGTAATCATGACAGCTGGAAATTCAGAGCACATCTAAGTGGGAAAAGTTACCAAAACAGTCCCTAGCACTGTTCTCGGCTTCCAGCAGAGATAAAATACCTGAACCCTGAAATAAAGAGAAGGGAACTGCTGTACCTAAGACATTCCTGAAACAGCAATTAAAGTAAAAATAAGACTCTCTTGTTTTTTCCCACCACCCTCTTTGAGTTACTTGGTAGAGACAGAACATGAAGCCAGCAGACTGATTTAGGCATTCCTTCCCAAAAGAATCTCACCCAATACATGTCAGACACACTGGCCTCTCCAAAACCTTTTTGTTCTTGATGCAGTATGATTAGAATAAAAATTCATAAAAAGATTTAACGAGACTTTAATAAACTTCATGTTCTCCTTCTAGAGACTTCCAGATGGGAGGACTCTCTAGGAATGACTGACAGAACCTCTATTTGCTGACAGCTAGTAATAGGAGAAGCCTTCAGGGGCAAGAGCAACTGCTGAGCCTCCACATGCACAGCAAATAGCACACCTCATTCCTGCAATCCATGGCTTCCCTGTTGAAAAATACAAGTGAGTAAACTCTGGCTTCTAGTCAACAGCTTTACAAACTTGATTTACAACTTCTACCTAAGCATCTGAAACCTGTGGATTTTCACACCATCAAGTTTCAGATTATACAGTGCCTTTAAAAAGAAGCAAACAGCTTTTCAAGAGCTTTTCCCATTTAAGTCACTGATACAAGGTAAACCCTTGGAGCATTCAAACCAGTGTTACGTGGGATGCTACAGCAATTCTGTTATTGTGTCAAGTATACAGTGTAGGAAGAAAATCTCACTCTGCCGCAGTTTAAGCCCAGCTGACAACCCAAAATCATGTAGCCACTGGCTCACTCCCCTCACACTTTCTCCCCACACTCCCAGAGGGATGGTGAGAAGAAATCAAAAGAATGTAACTCCCACAAGTTGAGATAAGAACAGTCCAGTAACTGAGGTATAACACAAAACCACTGCTGCTACCACCAATAATAATGATAAAGGAAATAACAAGGAAAGAGAATACAACCACTCACCACTCGCCCACCGATACCCAGCCTGACTCGAGCAGTGATCTAGCCCTTCCAGGTAACTGCCCCCAGTTTATCTACTGGGCATTACATGCTGTGGTACAGAACACCTCTTTGGTTAGTTTGGGTCAGGTGTCCTGTCTCTTCTTCCTCCTGGCTTCCCCTCCTCCCTGGCAGAGCATGAGACTCAGAAAGTCCTTGGTCAGAATAAACATTACTTAGCAACAACTAAAACCATCGGTGTTATCAGCGCTGTCCCCAGGCTGAAAGTCAGTAACACAGCACTGCACCAGCTACTAAGAAGCAGAAAAATAACTGCTACTGCTGAACCCAGTACACACTCTTAACAACAGTGCAGGGGTTTAGGTTTTTTATGCCCCTGAATGTCCTTAGACCTTTAGCCCTGCAAGAGAACTTGAACATGCAGTGTTTTTTAAAGATACAGCCAACATCTTAAAAACTCAGTATGAAGCAGATACATATTATCTTCCATAAAATCGTTTAAAAGAAAAAACACACTTTTACCTTTAATTCATGATAATTTATTGATCTATCTTTGTCTGTATCAAACAACTCAAAGGCATCTTTGATTTCTTGCCTCTGTTCCTCAGTTAGTTCTCTTCTTTTCTTCTTTTTAGTTTTATCTACTGAAAGCTCATTCCTGTGTAAAAAGAAATCCAGCATAATTGATTTCTACTCAGAAGATACCACTGTAAACAGTATTTTCTACCAATAAGAAACCCTCCATAACGGCATAGATTACTACCATACCCATTCAATCTTTTCTCAGCTCCTCCTCCAAACTTAAACCAACACTTGGAATGGAAAATTCCACTGTGAAAGCTGAATAACTTGCCGTTTACTCACACAAAATAACATCAGCACAGGCATTCTGGTTAATAAAACAGCAACAAAAAAGAGGGCAGAAAAACTGCCAGTTTAAAAGAATACTTGACCTTACAAACCCAATACACAGCTGAAATGATACAACTCATAAAAATGCTTTATTAGTGAACTGTAGCTTAGAAAAAAAGAATTCAGAGACATGCAGCAGGAAGCTTATCTAAGCAAGACATCTGGGTTGTCTGGTTACTAATGTGGGTGTTGGGTGTTACAAATCAGCTTTGTTGCCAGTAACAGTTCTTACTGATAATTTACGGATTGTTTTAAAATCCCCTCAATCACACATACAGGCACTGTTCATAAGACCTCCTGCTTTGTTTTTGTACATGCAAAAGAGACAAGCGCCCCAAATCACCAAATCTTGCTCAAAGACAGCCCTCTTTTCCTTGGCAGCCTTCTCTTCTCAGGATAAAAGTAAGGCTGTCAGGGTATAAGCATGCTCAGAAAGCCCCAAGGGAGAAAAAAATTTTCGGTCCCTATGGGAAGAGACCAGAGTGCTTACCATTACACCATGGGACCATGTGAAGTTGCTAACCTAGAAATCTGAAAGCAGATTAATGCCAAACTCTGCTGGAAGAAGAATGTGACTACGCAATGTTTATTTAGTGTTTAGCATAAAACAACTTTGTGGAGGGTTGTTTTTTTTTCCTCCAAAGACAAAGCAGTACTTAAGTGCAAGGAGCTGAGCATCACCTCTTCTACAACCACTTTTACCACATGAAGCATAAAATTCTCGGACTTGAAAATCAGGGATCACATATGCCACACAAGCCTATTAATTACACCTGAAGAGGATGTGCCAGGTATACAATTCATAAGACCGGTCCCATTACACAACAGTTACAGCACTGGACCTAAAAGCGAAACTCAACCGCCTACCCTAACGCTTGTTAAAAGCGCTGTCAAGCTGCATCACCTCAGACAAACCTTAGAGAGGCGAGCCCCTCTAAGCCCTCCCTGGTAGAACAGGAGGTGCCGGGTCTGACCCCCACACCCCCCCGGAAAGGATCAGCCTACTGGCTGGAGACTGCCGTGATCAGGCCCCAGCCACTGCCCACCGGACGCCGTTCCCCGTCATGGTGTCCCCTGAGCGGACGGCGAGGCCCTAAGGGCCCGTAGAGCGGCGATGGCCACCCCTTTAGCAAAGCAGCCCGCCCGCGCTACAGAGCCCGAAGGGACAAGGGGAAACACCGCACGGCTCATACCGACTCACGGCCAAGCTCATGGTGCCGCCGGAATGCAGCGGGACGAGACGAGACGGGACGGGACGGGACGGGCTGGGCTGCACCGCACCACGCAGAGCGCGACGGGATTGAACGGGACGGTATACAACCGCCAGCGCGGCCTTCCCCTTGGAAACGCGCACGAGACGACGCCCGCCAACCCGCGCCCTCCTCGCCATGCCACCGCCGTCTGATTGGACGTTAGCGGAGATCTTCCCGCCTCCGAACGCGGAGCGCCTGCCTATTGGCTGAAGGGTTGCCATTGAAGGCGGGGGGCCGTGTTTCTCTAGGTGCCGCTACCCAGAGTGCCGTGCGGCGCGGGCGGAAGGAAGGGGGTCGGCGGACTCTAGCGGCCGCTCTAGTGAGCTCAGAGCACAGCCTGGGGGTTCCGTGAGTGCCGCCTGCACTCGGTCCTGTTCAGCCTCCGTGTGCCGTGCCTGTGGTGGACGAGCTCCCCGCGTCCGCATGGTTGGAAACGCACTGGTCTGTACATCTGCATCAAACTGCTTGGAGGAGGCTCAGGGGAGACCTTACAGAATCTTTGCGCCTGAAGGGGCTACAAGAAAGCTGAAGAGGGGCTTTGGACAAGGGCCTGTACGGACAGGACAAGGGGGAATGGCTTTAACTTGACAGAGGGGAGACTGAGATGAGCTCTTAGGCAGAAGTTCTTCCCTGTGAGGGTGGTGAGGCCCTGGCACAGGTTGCCCAGAGAAGCTGTGGCTGCCCCATCCCTGGCAGTGTTCAAGGCCAGGAGCAACCTGGTCTCAGTGGAAGGTGTCCCTACCCGTGGCGGGGGTTGGAACTGGATGAGATTTGAGGTCCTTTCCAACACAAACTAGACTGTGATTCTGTGACACCTTAACTTTCGATCACTAGTTCGTTCACAAAAGTGTCACCAAGGACCTTTTGTCAGGAATCCTTTGTTTTTTCCAATTTTAATTGCTGTTGAAAGCCTCATAGCTTTTCCTACACACTGCTGGGTACATACACGAACATACAAAGTCACTTACTAAATTGGAGAACTCAGCCTGTCCAGTAAAATCACGGTAGTTGGAGGAACCATGTGCTGAAAAATGGTTTTGTTTTGGACAGGACAGCAGAAGCAGAGAGCAGGTTAACACTTTTAGTTTCTAATTTAATCTGTAATTATCCAGTGAAGCTTGTTGTCTTACGCTAAATTTTTAGACACAAGGGGTACTACTTAATGATTTCAGTAATATGCATATGAATTATAAATATTAACTTGGAAACACCTTTGGCTGAATTCTTTGATCTAGATTTTAGACGTTAAATACTCATAATTCTTATTTTGCCATATATTTTGCTGCCTTTATTTCCCTCCCTCTTTCCTAACAGTTCTCCATTTTTTGTTTTCTTTGGCTATGGATGTCTGCTCCTCAAGGACAAGTTGTTGCTATAGGCTTTAACAGTACCTGTTTAAAAGCTCATTCTGAGTTCTGCCATATACCATCCTACAGACTAAGATTTATCAGTAATATTTCTCCCCACCTCCCCACCCCTGGCACCCTTGTAAATGTTCTTTGTAGCAGAAACATCCCACATTTCTTTCATGGTGACATTAAGGCACATAGAGATGTTCACTGATGGAAAAAATTAGATGCTGTACTACTGAAGTCATTAAAGTGACTGTTCCACGTGTGATTGAAAGATGATTACAAAGACCCCTCAATCATCTGACATGGTTACCTCACAACATAGCATCTATTGTGAAATACAAAGTGTAGCTTAATATGACAGCAGTAATATATCACATTTCACTCTGGATCGACTAGGTTAGCTGTAACTGTTGAGCTGTATGACAAAAGATGCCCCTGATGCCCCTGCACCAATAAGTACAGAGGAGCAAGGCTGGGTGTGAGACCCCAGTAACAACCTAAGAAGTGAAGCCTCCCAGCTGGCTGCTCCCAAGCTGATTTGTTTTATTCTTTAGCTAAAGCCAACATTGTAGTACTTTTTAAATTATTTTAATTGCTTTATTTTCTTCATAAAATCATCTTATTTCTGTATCTGCCTTGAAATTCTATCCTCATCACCACATAAAATTCAAAATTTAACAAGTTTAACTAGTTTTGAAAGTAAGATTGTGTTTGTGCTAGCATGCAAGAAGATTGACATGAGGACTACACATTAACACTGAAACTCCTGGGAGAAAACAAACACATCACATTAAATGTGATATCCCTGAAGTCTAGTTATCTGTTGTCTGGAAGGAAGAGTACCTTCGTCTTTGGATGAAGAGATGATTACCTTCTTCATTTATTCTTGCCATTATATAAGGACATTTCTTTTCCGCTGGTTTTCATGACAGTAGCTGCCTTTGTTATACATGGACTAATTTCCACATACTTCTACGGTTTATCAGTTACTAAGAAATTTTATCTTTTACCAGAAACTAGTCATCAAGTATGCTATGGATTAGTTAAAGCTCCAGTTATGTGCCAAACAGAAGCTATGTGATCTATTTTTGTTTCAAGTAAACAGCTGTCATTAGCTACTGTCTTGTGTGGCAATAATAATCTATGTCACCACAAACTGAAACCGACCCCCAAATATAAATTTTCATCACATCCATTTTTTCTGTGTACAAATTCTGCGAAAACCTAATTCTGATTTGTGTTAAAACGTGGATTTTTTTTTTTCCAAGAAGTACCACTCATGGTTTTATACAAACTTTGCAGCATTTGTCCATGATACATAAACATTTATAATGCAGTTTCCTGTTCAGAACACTGCTAGCAACTTTTAAAGACTTTATACTCCATTTAGAATCAAAAAGTGCTTCTCTTGAAAAACACCTAGAAATTATGACTGAACTGCACAGGATTATAACTTTATTATGATAAAATATTTTTTTTATGTGTCAACTGTTAACATAAGTCTTGACACATTATGAAGCAAAACTTCCCATACATTTAGATTTTACGAGTAAATCAACAAAGTTCTAATACCCAAGATGTTGCAATATTTAAACTTACAATGTATGTTTTAAATATTCAATCCAAGAAGTGTTACAAGGCCACTGCCAAACTCTAAAACTTGGCTAATTCTTAACAGTAGTCACAGACAGTTCTTTACACTTAAGATATATCATTGATCTAGTAGTGTATTTCTTACAACACAAAAATAATTCTGGGACCTTCAAAAACTAGTTTCAATGGGATCATAGCAGCAGTTTACTCTCCATTTTGGGCTATGTTCATGTAAAGCATAATTCTGATCTGGGAAATCATTCCTAGATTTTGGTCAAGGTAAAAAAAAACTCAGGCAATTGCTGTTATCTACATATACTTAATGGACTTAAGCATGCCTTAATAGGGCATTTTGACATGTGAGGACGTTGTACCTGATACTGAGCACAGATTTAAAGTAATGATGATGGGTATCTTCCCTTTTGAATTGGCATGCATGTGAGCCTTCTCTTAGGAGCTCAAAAGGGTTTCAAGTCTATCAATATTGGATAAAATAAACTAATGGCTGTATAACACAAAATGCTAGTTCAACATGCTCTCACTTTCCTAATGAACATTCCCAAAATTTTAGCAGCTGGCAGGCTTTGGGGCAGAAGAGGTCTCTCTGTGTTACTGCACAGGGCTTAGCACCAGTGCTCCTACAGCCTTACTGATAGGATAGAGCAAGATTACTACTGGTATTATGCCACAGATGGCTAATTTGAAGGAATTCAATTATTGTTGGGTAACCTGTGACACCACAGCTTCACCTGGATAACTGGTAAGCTTTGGTGCTGTGTGTTTCTTTGGCCACTCGGACTTCAGCCACCTCGTATCTGCGATTGCCCACTGTGAACCCTTGGCTATCCTGAACAGTGCCTGGACTACTGTGTGAATAGCAGCATGTATCAGCAGGCTAAAAAGGAAAACGACACCGTGGAGTTTGTTCTGGGCTTCTTCACTGAACAGCTGTTTTGCTTCCCAGGCTAACTTTTTGTGTTTCTTCCTATGGACAAACGAGCCAAGACAAAAAGCTCTTGGCTTCATTTATGACAGAAGTTTACCTGCTGATTAAACACTCCCTCATGAAATACACTGACATTTTTGGGTTTCTCCAAAAAAAAAGACAATGATATGAGTGGTAGCAGGTCTTTCAAGCACTGCATTGCTGCACCTGGTCTGCCCACTTGCCATTGTGCTTCAGCTTGGAGACAGGCACTGCTAACAAGAGCTAGGCACAACCTATCAGTATAAATCCTGGTCAAGAATATACTCAAATAGTAAAGGCAGGAGTGCTGTGATCTGTGAAAGGAGAAAAGCAAGACGTAAAATATTTTCTTTCATATTTTTTACAGAGATACTTTTTATTTTGCAATTGCTGTTTTCCAACAGAATTCGCAGCAGTTAAGAAGGCTTCAAATTCCACTCCCCCATGCCTCAGATGGAGCCTAGTCTTTGGACTCCATCTCTGCTGGGCATGATGAGGGGTGAGGAGGAACCTTCCCCATAAAATCAAACTGCACTAAAATTTGGGAGAAACTTATGCACTCTTTAGTAAAGTATATATGTCCATATACAAAAATAACATCAGACAGTATCCTTTTAAAAAAGTTAAATATACTGTTAGAATAATTACACAAACTTTACCCATTTCAACAGCTTTTAAGTATCACACATTCAATTTTTATATGCAAGTTACAATGTCATTTAGCATTTCTCACTGTATATAACTTTTTTTTGGAACAGACTCAAATGCAATGCACTTTTAATATAAAACCTATGCAGAAAACACTTTATAAGCAGACAGTAAACAGCTCAAGCTACATTCACTTTGTAATAACAAGCATATGGGCTGTTTAATCCAGCACCTGCAGTAGGGCAAGATAATGGTAAAGCCTCCCTCCTTCCCCTACCACGGAGCATTAAGAACCGAGTTACAATCCAGTCACATAAAAATACTTTTACTTGCAAATAAAGCCTTTAAGTTTATTACAGTCCAGTTTGCTCAAATTTACAGAAAAACATACTCTGTAAGTAATTTTATTTTTTAATGAGCTCATCAGAAAAAAATCAAACATA